AAGAAACTGCATGTATGTGGATGTATTATGCATGAACAGTTAGCATAATGGATGCATATCTTGCTCTTTAAAGTGGCTTCTTTATTGATTTTTCTTTTTTAATAAAAACACTTTGGGACCTTCACCTCTGAATATTACACAAGAGTAAGAAATTTTAACAATAGACAACTAAGCCAAGATTCAAACAGTATCATATATCTTGCTTCCTGAAATGTAAGTCTTGGAAAATGTCTGTCTCTTTCCCTTTTCATTCATTGTTCCTGGCAAGCTGACAGAACTGCCTGATGCACTGTTAGTTACAGTAGCTCACCCAAACGACTTCTAATCAGCCACTTAAATATTTATGCATTTCAAAACTTGATCTCAGAACATAATATTAAACATAAATACTTACTATTTAAAGGCAGCCATTCTTCTATTATACAGATTTCCTTCTTTTTATGCACACTTCACACACACACTGCCACCCTGAGAAATGTGAAAGCTATTCCTTTCAAAGCTCAATGAGGGTTTTCCCCCCACATAGGAAAAACCCTTAAATGATTATGACAAAGATCCTGAGTGAACCATAAGAGAATGCCCTTCAATTGTAGAAGCATGACTAACATTTGAATATGGTAGCTGCTACACAAGCAAAGTAAAACCTTCTATCTGGTTGATTCCAAAATACATAATCATCTACTTTTCCATATCCAAAAAATATAGACTAGGAGGAGTTGCTGACTTCAATGTGACAGGCTCTCTAACTTTTTCACACACTATTGATAATGCCATTCAGAAAACAGGCAAAAAATAATGGAAAGTAGCAAGCAGCCCCCTTTCCATAATCCCTACTTATATTGATATTAAAGACACAAATACACACACACAATTCTCAAGTTCTTAACATTTTATTCTAACCCACATCGCTTGCTTTTACCCTAATTAATATTTTGATCATAACGCATTTTGGTCAATAAATATGAGAAGGGCAGGCTGGCCCGTGCTCACTTAGGAGAGTATGGTGCTGATAATACCAAGGCAATGGGTTCAGATCCTACACAGGAATGGCCGGTTCACTCACTGGCTGAGCACGGTACTGACAACACCTAGACAAGGGTTAAGATCCCCTTACGGGTCATCTTTTTAATAAATAAATAAATAAATATGAGAAGTGCATAAGAAATATGCAGATGCTTTATTACAGAAAAGCAATTAATTCTGCTTGTGAGAGAGAGACAGAAAACGTTGAGGGAAAAAAAGACATTTAAGCCAAGCATTAAAGCCTAAAAAATTTTTTCACATGGAAGAGTAGGAACCTGTCTTTTTTTTCTTGCCAAGCTCTAGGCACTCACAACAGCATAATCAATCACAGTTATTTGTCACCTTGTCTGTGGCCCTCATGAGAGTGGTTTGACTCAAGAGTAGGATCTTTATATATTTTTCTTTTTATCCCAGTACTCAGATGGCCTTTAACAAAAGGTTTTCCCTCCAAAAAAGCTTTCCTCATAAACTCAAACCAATTCTGGTTCCATGCTCAAAGTCACTGATAAAAACCACAAAATGATAAACATTCCATTTTTCATAAAAAGGGAGAACTGCAAAGGAACTAAAAAAAAAACACTAAAAAGCAAGAACTGCAAAACACCCCCAAATCTCCTACTCTTATCCTTGGTATATACTATGTCAGAATCTATATGCATGTGTGTATGTACAGGTATACACACACACATATGTGAATTTTTCTGACATTAGATTGATTTGATATTTAACTTTCAGTTTTTCAACACAAATCAATAGATGGTAAAGACAAATGACCCAGAAAAGTACTGAGTCTGATAATCTGCTGTGAAAAATTCACATGCTAACAATAGAGAATTAAGAATAAAACTAGGACCTTTGTGGAAAGAGTCAATAAGCTCCTACAAGTTTACCTACTAAAAGAACATGTGGTCAGAAGATGCATGTTTGAATCTAGATTCTGCCATTAATTATCTGTATAACCTCAGGAAATTCACCCAAGCTCTGAGATCCTGTTCTCTCCTCTGTGAAATGGGGCTGGCACAGGGATGCTTGGAGCAATAGATGACAAAGATAAGAGAACACAGATGTCCCCTAGTAGCTTCTTAATAAACAGAGCCTCTTAATGCAAACTGCCTTCCTTAAGAGCATGTCCTACCACTTGTCTCAGCAAAGGAGACTCCAAACAGGGCAGAAAAAGATCCTGCCCAAAGGAATCACATCTACTGCCTCCTCATTGATAAGATTCATGACCTGGCAATAAAGATAGTTAGACCTAGTGAGCACATCAAAAAGGGAAAAACATCTTGCAATTTACTTTTTTGCACCCCCCCCCCCATCCATGCAATAAACAGAGCCTCTTAATGCAAACTGCCTTCCTTAAGAGCATGTCCTACCACTTGTCTCAGCAAAGGAGACTCCAAACAGGGCAGAAAAAGATCCTGCCCAAAGGAATCACATCTACTGCCTCCTCATTGATAAGATTCATGACCTGGCAATAAAGATAGTTAGACCTAGTGAGCACATCAAAAAGGGAAAAACATCTTGCAATTTACTTTTTTGCACCCCCCCCCCCCATCCATGCAAAATTTCACCACATCAAATTTACTATGGCAAAAGGAGTCTTACTTTATATTTCTAACCCTGACTGATTTAACTGAACTCTGATTTGGGGCCATGAGAGAAGGACAGCCATGTGTATCTGCTGATTTGGACTGGACAAAGCTCACCCAGCCAGGCACAAGAAAGTGCTTTCCCAGAGAAAATGGTGTTCTCCATTTACCATATCCAGAACTAAAGCTGCTTTTACTCATTCTATGTTGTACAAAAGGCTTTTATCATATGCTTCCCTCCTTTGTAATACAGCCCCACTTTTGGGGTAAAAATCTACAGTAATAAGCAAGCTAGTCTTTTAACAGAAGACAAACAGAATGCAGTGAACTTAAAACCACTCTACTTTGTTTTGCCCAACCACACAGCATTCCATATTGCTTTCATTTACTTTCTTCCCCTTTCAGTTAATAGTTATTTTTAAAGAATTAGAACAGAAGCAGGTCAATAATGCCTACAGATGTTAAAAAATTATTAGGCCATGCTCTACGCAGAGAAACATGTAAACAGAGGGCTGAGGTAATTTATAATCCTTCTTTTACCAAATGCATTTTACCTATAATTCTACTTGCATAACAGATGGTTCACTTAAAACCTCACTGTAGAAAGTAGCTCTCAGTTAAACAATCATCATCAAAAACAATAAATGTTTATAGAGCATCTGCTACTTTTACGGCACTGCTAGGTCTACAAGTAAACAAGGATTAAAGAAGAAAAGAGATAACAAAAATTAATCTTCCTCCCCCTATGTTATTCATTTTCTTCTACACCATTCTTTCCCTACCACATGAACACACTTGTTTGTTTTCCCCTCATGTATCTTCTAGGTTAAGTCAAAGAGTCCTCCTGAATTAACTCCTCCAACTTGCTTTGCTTTTCCCCTCCATAGGGGACAGGAGCAGCTATGAAAGAGATTCAGATGGCTGATAACCTCTCAGCCTCTCTCTCTTCCTAGAGCTGGAAGATGGTTGGGTATCTCAAGAAAAGAGGCTCAATCCATTTGGCCTAAGCATCACCCATTGGATTGCTTTGAAATTATGGGGCATCGGGGACTTAGGATCTAAGCACAACCTCCCCACCTGTTTATATCCTCAAGACATCTGTGACTTTTGGTGGTTATGGTGTTAGAACAGAAATCTTCTTAACAAACTATTGTCTGTGATCTACAAACCATGTTCTACATGCATTTACCAGCCAGCTCCTATCATGGATATTTTTATCACCCCTACTTACCAACGGTGAAAATAATGATAAAAAAATCCATTATAATCTGCTTCAAACTAGAGTACCATTAATATTACCCACCAGACTGCAATTACATAGGTGAAAAATTAATGAGTGAGGAAGTTAAATATGATTCTTAAGAGCCCAACAAAAATAATCCCAAATATGCCACAAGTTAGACAAATATTTAGTTTACTGCCAATTTTTATTATAGCTCTTACTCTGAAATTTTAAAGATGAAGCTTTATAATTTATGGCAGTGATGATCACCTTCTTCCTTACAACCACTAAGGACCTGCTTTATTAATTTTCTACCAGTAACATCATGTTCTGAAATACTGGGCCTATCAAACAAAATGATGTCTTAAAATAAATTTTGTTTATATCTAAAAATAAAAATGGATAGTTCTGCTTCCTCTCTCCTATTTTTCATCTTCTATCCAGTCCCTCTACTTTTCTGACCTTTGCCTGCCATTCCATTTGTCCCCTCCCTAAATTTACAAGGAAAAAATATATATTAGCAAACATGCACAAATCTTAAACAGACATTTTTCAGACACACGGTTTGAAGATACAAAGATACAGTTTGTAAAGGTAAGTAGAATTCTACTCTTGAACAGTTAAAAAATAAAACTGTCAGAGCCCCGAAAATATTCACTAGGCTTCCCTATCTTCACATTGGGTGTTTTTCAACTTATGGCATATTATTTATTCATATAGATAGAGGAAGCAAACATACAAAAGATTTATGGAGGTATTTGGACTAAACACCAATGGCTAATTCCAAAGAGTGATCTCCAGAATCGAATATGCCTAGGTTTCAAAGGAAAATGTCTCAGGACTTCAATTTCATCACCAGAATCTCAAATCTAACTGTTAGGGAAAAAGTACAATTCTTGGGGACTTGAGTTGCTTGGCCTGGTGCCTTGCTGCACATTTAGCCGTGTAGTTAATCTTCCAGAGCTGCGCCCACTGCAGCATGCCTGCTATTCTTTACCATCTGGAGCCTGGAGTTGATATTAGTTTGAACCACACATGCAAGAGAAAAAAAAAAAAAAAAACCCTTATGCACATTTAACTGAAATTGGTGGCTGAACAATGAAAATGCACTATGCCGCCTAGGCTGTTACACATGTAAGAAAGGGAAAAAAGGATAAAGTACAAACCTTCTCCTTTGTTTTCTGGTTCTCTGCTCTAAGGTCTTCATATTCGCCTATTGCTAAAAGAAAAAAGGAAAGCAACATTACAACACTATCGAAAGTGTACTATAGCAAAACCTGGGAACCCAACTAACCCCACTGTCTACTTACTAGGTTGGGGTAGGATGGAGAAGAAGATACAGAGGAAGGGCTTAGGGTTTTAAAAGTTGGAAGAAAAAGAGATCATAGCAGATGTCAGCTCACCAAGCTGAATTTCAGTTCTCCCTAGGTTATTAGGAAGACCCTTGAGCCAGCAGAGGTGATCTGTGACAAGTCACTTCTCTTTGATGCTCAGCACTTGGTCCTATGAAAAGATTCAGGTGGGTGTTCCCTGAAGTTCCTCCCAGCACTACTGGTCAATGGTGCTATAATCAGGGGTTTATTTAGAAAATCAGCCTCTACAAAATACAGTAGGCTTGCACATTCAATTCAGTGTCACACATCTGCTTTATCCACAGAGCAAAAGGTTTATACTACGAACATTCAGCTAAGAAAAACTATTTTGGGGCAAGATTATCAGTCATGAAGCCACAACCAGAAACCAGCCAGACTCATTTTACTAAGTCGGAAATATATGTAAATTGTTTGGAAATATTTCTAATTATGTGTGGAGGGAAATTTTTCTATTTAAAATTCTTTATTCCCAGAAAAACATAATAACTTGAACCCCCACATTCATCTTTTGGCCAAAGCACCATTTTTAGGTATACTCACAGTTGAGAATGTGATGTTTAGAGTGTAAGTGGGAAGAAAGAGAATGATGGAGCAGAACGTCTAAGGTAAACCTAGAACTGCTACTCACCCCCAGGTCAGCATCCTGACTGGCACCAGAGAGCCAGGGAATCACCAGGTTGGACTTTCGTCTTTTTCAAAAATTGAATTGGGATTTATCTACAAAAATCTCTAATAAAAAAAACCAAACAGGGCTTCCTATTTCTATGAATAATCTGAAGACAGAAATAAAAAAAATCTCAAACCATTGGCTTTAAGAACATCCCAGATAATCTGGTCATTAATCCTAGAAATATGTGATTCTAACATTACGCCTCGGCTAGTCAAAGGTTCAGAATAGCTACTGTGATGGTAGTGCTGAAATCTTAAAATCCAATTCAAATTAACAAATATTTATGGGATTATACCACTGATGCCCATAAGTTTTATTAGCACCCCATGGCCATTTAAATAAGAATTAATGAACAATTTTATTGAAGCCACACTCCAAAAGAATCTTTGAAAATTAGAAAGCCCATAAAATAGATGCATGTATACATGTAAAGATACAGCCCTTTTGAAAATTACATTTTCAATAGAAAATATTTGATTGACCACAGAATGAAGCCCTCTGCACACCAGCTCCTCATCAACCCCTACCACACAGCCCCCAACCATTGAGTGTAAACTAAATTGTCTTTGGATCTGAAAAATCAATGAAATGTGCCCACTTTTAACATAAAAAAGCAACTGACTAAAATATTCTAAAAATACGCACTTACACCATTGGATAGTCTATGGTCAGGTCCCAAATCTTATTACTATACTGTATCTGATACTGTTTAAAAAAAAACAAATATATAAATATTTTATTGAGAGACTGTGATTTAGGTTACTTGACGTTTAAAAGTATCTGTAAATAACCACAAAAATTCCTTGAACTATTTAAGTCAAGTGAACAGATACAATGTGCGGGGGGGTGGGGGTGGGGGTGGAGAGGAACAGGTAAAAGAGCATGAAAATCAAGTACAATGTAATTTGAGAAGTAAAATTAAAAAATAAATAAAAGTATCTGTAGATGAAGTTGAAAATTAAAATTAATTTAACACTATTATTGGTGATCTACTTTACAAACATACAAAATAAACAATAAAGGCTTATAAAACCATGATCTCATACTGACATTAAGAAATTTTTTCTATTTAAAACATCAGATAACAGCTTTGAAGGCTTTTTGAAAATACTGATACTATTCTTCTGCTATAGTGCCAATAGAACCCAGATAAAATATTACAAACTCCCAATTACTACGTCTTTATGAAAAGCATTTACTAGGAACCTTTCACCTATATTTTAATGGAAGCCACAGAAAATATGCTTTCTAGTGAATATGTACAACTTAAAAAAATAAATAAAGCTACTAGGAAAGGAAATGGGAAGTATAGAAAGAATTCAACCATTTTGTAAAAGGAAGGGTGTAGTTGGGGATAGGGCATAAAAGGAAAGAAAAATATTTACTTTTATTTCTTTGAAGTTAAAAAACCAAGCTCATGTGGTTTTTTTACACAAGATTTACACTCACACACACATACACAAATATATGAGGGTACTTCAAAATGTCCATGGAAAAATAGAATTAAAATAATACAAATCTTTCTACGAACTTTTTGAAGATCCCTTGTAAAAACATAAATACATATACGCACATATTTCACAGTGAATACATACATAACCCCATCCTCAGCAAAAGTGGCAAAAACTGAAGTGACCTATATTATCCAGTTACTACTTCTTTTGGCAATGTTAAGGGGTTGCAGAGAAAGCCTTCTCATTTCAGAACTGGCTAACAGTTTGAAAAATTTAAAAAGTGTACAGGCCAAGTGATTTGATGAGAAAGAGATCCTCCAAATCCTGAATTAACCAATGCACAATCTGACCATTTCTCTGCCATATGAAAGATACCCATAGCTTGGGAAGACTTCATCTCTCAGGTTTACAGGTGTAGTATACAAGGGTTCTTCAAAAGTTCTTGGAAAAATAGAATTAAAAGATAACACAAATCTTTCCCCAAACTTTCTGAAGTACCCTCATATTTCACTGTACTATAAGGTCATATAGGGCAGTGATTAAAAAGTACAGCCTAATACCAGCCTGAGCACTTACTGGCTAGGGGACCTTGAGCAAGTCAGTTGATCTCTCTGAGTCTCAGGTTCCTCATTCGGAAAATAGGAATAGCAATTATACATCTCTCATAGCATTGTTATTAAGAATTAATGAGTTGACATATATGGGTGTTTCAGCATATTAAGTATTCAATACACGTTAGCCATGGTTGTTACTGACACAGCAAAGTACATTAAATCTTTTGCACGTGACAAAGAGATCAAAAGAGAGCTACCCTCGAAAGCCCTCAGTCTCAGGCTTACTTTTGTCCCACATGGTCTGAAAGATGGCAGACCAAAAAAATCTCTGAAACCTGGGGCACTACTATCCTCCACCAAATAAAGGGAGGGAAAAGGGGGCTAAAGATCAACTGTAAACAGTTTTCTGTAGTAAAGAAAGGCAGCAAAGAAGTGGAAGCATATCTGAGAGCTGTACTTTTCCATCTGGTTTCACATGAGAATCACCTGAGAAACTTTTAAAACATACAGATGTCTATCCCCTTCACCACACTGCCCCTCCCACCCCAAGACTCTGATGTAATTAGTCTGGGGTAGAGCTTGGGCATCCTTTTTTTTTTTTTAAAAGATAGTGCCCCATATGATTCTAATGTACCACCAAGGTGGGGAACCACTACATAACAGTACAGAACAGAAAAAAAAGAAGATGGTGGAGAAAACAAGGGGAATATCAGGCAGAGCATGTGTTCCAAGAATCATACTGGTTTTCTATTTTCTAATTCCCTAATGCCAAGAAAAGGAGTTTTCTTTCCAATCTTCAAATCATGACACAGACAGTCCAACAGGCAGCTGAGCATACTTTGTTGTTTCAGAAACATGACAACTAAAGTTCATAACTACAATAACACCTCTGGCTAGGGTTAACAACAATCACAGTTTGCCTGGGACTTTGCCGGTTTTAGCACTGAAAGTCCAGCGTCCCTGGAAATCTCTCAGCCCAAGGTAGACTAATCACCCTACCTCTAGCTAGCACTAGCTCCAAACCAGGATTTCCAACCAATACTTTCTAGACCTGCACTGTCCAATACGGTAGCCATTAGCCATAAGTGGCAACTTAAATTCTGATCAATGAAAATTAAATAAAATATAAAATTCAGTTCTTCAGTTGCATTAGTTACATTTCAAGGGCTCAACAGCCACACGTGGCTAATGGATACCATACTGAACAGTGGACAAAGAACATTTCCAAACAAAAGCAGAAAATTCTATTGCCAGTTCTATTCTGAGCATCTCTGTCCAGATGCCCTGCAAGCACTTCAAACTCAACACGTTAGAAAGTGAGCTCAATTATCCCTTCACACAAATTTCCTACTTCCTGTAGGCAGGGTCTCCTTTCACTGGAATCATCTGCCAGGTCCTCAAGCTAGTAACTGCAGGATCACCCTTGATCACCACTTTCTTCTGTCTCCAAAGTATCATCAAACTACTCAGATTTTTAAAAATGTCTTTACCCTGCCCTTCCTCTGCAGCTGTTATCTCTGCCCTAATTCATATCCTCAACAACGACAAAATCCTATCTAGCTCTACCTAGCTTCTCTCTATCTCAAATTCATTATTTACATGGTAATTAACATACTGACAAAGCAAGCTGGTCATTTCATTTTCCTATTTAAAAACCTCCAAAGACCTTCACTTCGCAACCTGAACCCCACTCTACTATACACCATTCAGCCTCAGAGGCTACAACTTACTCCATCATGCACAAGTCACAACTGGCCGGTACAGGGATGGAACCCTGGGCCTTGTTGTTAGCATCACCACACTCTAACCAACTGAGCCCCCAGGTGCCTTTTCAAAAGTTTTTCACCTGCAAGGTCTTCCCCACCTCATCCTTTTCAGTGCAATTCAACTGTCATTTCTTCTAAGAAGTCTTCCTCATATACCTCTGGCAAAATCAGCACTTATATTTTAACACACCACCAGAGTACACTGTTCATATCTCTATTAGAGCATCTACATATAACATTACAAATTATCTGCACATAGATCTGTTTTCTTGTCTTTTCTCCCACTTGATTTATTGCTATACAGTAGTTCTCTCTTATCCATGGTTTCACTTTCCATAATTCCAGTTATCCGCAGTACAGTACAAGAAGATATTCTGGGGGGAAGAGAGACCACACTCATAT